CCACCGTCGTGGGTAGCAGGAGAATCAATGTTTTCTCTCATTAATTCAGAAAAGCACGTCCTGTCACCCGCTGGCAGGCAGGAGTGCTCTAGGCCCCAAGCAAGCGAAGCTCAGTCAGGGCAGCCTTCGCTCATGGGTGCTGGCACCCAAAGTCTACATTTCTCCTCTGCAGTCGCCCCGACTATCCCACCATTTCACTGAGAGGACAGAACTCCTTGCCTCCTCTGGGTTCCTGATCTCGAACGCTGAACAAAGGCACCTCAGCAAGGGCCGCCCGCACCCACCAGGTGTGTCTATCTGCACCTGCCCCCACCTCAGCACCTGCATTAGCCCCACGGAGGTGATCTCATCGCTGCACTGGCCTCTGCGGGAACAGGGCGTCACCTTTCCACCCTCTCACTGTCATCTCACAGGCACCCACCCTCAGCACCCAGAATACCCAGACACACTGCAAAGGACATGAGCATGCTGGAGGGGATGTGTGCACATCCTGTGGGGGACTTAGGCATGCAGGAGTTGATGGAAGGGGCAGGGGGAACTTGTGCGCACCTTAATCCAGGACTGTTGCAGGCGTGCAAGGGTGACAGTGTTCGGGGGGATGTTCACACACCAGCGGGGGAGGAGAGGATATGTGCACCAGAGGCCTGTGGCTTCGCAGATCCGCAAACCCCCGTGGTGCTGCCAGGAGGACATCAATGTGGCCCGCCAGAGTGGCTGATCCTACGATCCTGCACCTTCTGAGCCAGGAGGTGGGACTTGCACAGCCATACCTCAGCGCTGATGGCCTGCAGGTGCTACTTCAGCTCAGCTCCCAGGCTTGGCTTGGCTTGCTCATGTCTGCCACTGCAGCCATGTGGGGAGTACAGGCTGCCCTCCACTGGCTCACCTCCCCTGCACAGAGGCTCTCTGCATGCTGCCCACAGGCCCAGAGAAGCCTGGGCAGGGAGGGATGCTGGTGCGTGCTGCTCACCCGCCATCTTTGTCCGGTTAATTTGCCTACTCACTCCAATTGGATATTGAGCATAGTGGAGGGATGGATAATTTGCATGTTTCTCTTTTATTATATACGAATATATGGGATTATTGATTTCAGAGAGAAAGGGAGAGGGAGAGAGAGAGAGAGAAACATCAATGATGGGAGAGAATCATCCTGCTCTTGGCTCTTGCACGTCCCCTGCTGGGGATCGAGCTTGCAACTCAGGCATGTGCCCTTGACCAGAATCGAACCCAGGACTCTTCAGTCTGCAGGCCATCGCTCTATCCAGTGAGCTAAACTACCTATGGCATGTCTGTTTGGTTTGGGTGGCCAGCCAGTGGGGCCTCACTGGGAAGGTGGCTTGAGGAAAGCATTGAAGGACATGAGGAATTTTCCCTGGGGATGTTGGAAGGAAGTCCTTTTGAGCAGTGGCACCACCACTGGGAATGGCCTGGGGCAGGAGTGTGTCTGGTTTAAGAGGGAGGAGGCCAGTGTGGGAATGGAGCAGAGTGTAATGGAGATGAGATAAAGACGAGGCCACACCTCCTGGGCCTGTGGGATGGAAGAAGGGCGGGGACTGTGCTCTGAGTGAGGAGGGAGCCACAGGAGAGTTTAGAGCAGGAGAGGCCTGGCCTGATACTCCTTTAAAGGATCACTGTGTCTGCTGAGCTGAGAACACTTGGGAAGTGAGGGGGCAGTGTGGAGGCTGGAGGCGTGTGTGAGGGGCTCC